GTAAGATGATACCAATACTCGTAGCATTTGGATCAAAAAATGCATAGTCTCTGATGTTATGGGCCCTATCAATGACAATATCGATAATGTCGTTATTAGCCATGACAAGAATTGGCTCCTCTTCTTCTTCTGGTTGCACTGGTGGTTCTAGGTCTCATAAATCTTCCAGATAAACAACAATAGGATCCCCTTGTATGTTTCTAGTAAGTTGAAGTCTTCTTAGTGCTCTGAGTGCTCTTTCGGGTTCAGGATATCCACTGTAAACTAGGTGTAACAACCTGTACATACAATAGCTAAAAGACTTGTCGTGACACCAAATTTCAATGAAACATAAAAGGCTTTAATTCTTAAAAACAAAAACAATAGTAATGAATACAAAAAATCTGAAATGCAACTAAATCACTCTCTGGAAACGATGCCAAGAACTTGTTCGTAATCATTAAAAGAGTGTCACATGCAAGTATATATATATTGTGATTGCAGCAAATAATAAGTATAAAAGTATCGTACCCACAAGGAGTGTTGTTACTTAGATTTTATTTTTGCATGGAAACTATTCTTTTTTATTTAAGCATGAGCAGAGAGAAATAATGATTGGTGTTTATGAGTACAAGTTCACTTAAAACATATGTTAAAAGTAAGGTGAAAATAAGTGGAAATATATTAAGAGTGATTGAGTTGAGCTATGTTCCATTAATGTCATTAGTGTACTCATGTGTTTATGACGTGTGGTGTCGTGACTAGTGAGGTTAGAGTGATCTTATGGTGTATCTCTATAACATTAAATCATGCATAACAAGGGAAAGGGAACAAATATCTAAGCCTCACTTGTAACTCTAATATGCGTCTATTAGTCTTTTGAAGTCCTCAATAGTTATAGCTTATTATCTCTAAGCAAGTGAATATCTTCATCCTACTCATTCAACTACCTTTATTAATAAAATCACTTGTTGTTGGATCTCTCACAACAACAAGCTGTCATCTACTCCTAAGTTGATCAAGAAAAGAAGTAAACTATTAATAGATTAACATATAATAAAACTAATCACTTAACCACACACCATATAATATAAAAACACTTTAATATTAACTTCACATTGCTCAACTACAAAAGGTTTACCTCGTAGTGAGCTAAGTACAAGCTACAAACATGGTTCTCAATAGGAACATCTCTTTAACAATAAATGAAGAAAAGATATAAACCTGAGAGAGACTTGGAAAATGACTTAAGACGGTTATCCTTCAAGATATATCTCCAGTCGCGCCACTACTCATCAGCTGGTACGAGATTAGGTGAAAAGAGAACTCTATCACACTCCACTATCCACACACTAAACTCTTAGTGTTTTCTATTAGAACAAATGAAATACTTTCATTTCTCATTACAACTCTATTTATAGACCAGTGATTAGGGTTTGTGTCGCATTGGATCATAGGCCTAATATGAGGGAATCACATCAAGCCCATACAAAAAGTAGCACCAACACATAACATCAGTTGCTTTGCAAACAAGGAATCTGGTACAAGGAGACCATGGTGGGAGACAATGTTTATGGTGGCAGACTGTCACAGCAAGTGCAGGCAACATACTGTCCTTTATGTAGTGTACTATTGTACCCGATTTTATCCTCTAGCGCCTACACCTTTGTGCTTTAAATTTGAATTGTTTCTTCCTCTTTTTCAAAACAACAAAGTGTTTCCTCCAATTTATTCTTCCTTGTAGGCTATCCATTTCAGCCAGTTGCTTGCACTATTAATTTCCCTTTTCCTCTAAGTCCTTATAACTTCTTCAGCTTGCTCCATGCAGCAGACCACTACAGTCTTTCCCCATCTCAACTTTGTTACCCTATTACTTACAAAAACAAACATTAATAATAAAAGGGAGCACCTATTGTGCTCCAAGATAAACAAATAAAAACAACTAAAATGCAAGAAATTACAACTATTAAACTAATAAAAAGATTAATTAATAAGAACTAAAAGCATGTATTAGCTCATAAAATATGGGTTAACAAAAGGTGATTAAGGCTATTGAATAATAAGTGAGGGTGTAACTTAGGTCAGTTTTATCGAGGTCCCACGTTGAGTTCCAATGTACTTGCTAAAAAGTACAATGAGGACAATCCCTTGTTGTGTATGATATTTTGTAGTGTTTAAGGTATTTGATTGTCTTTAGGGCTAACTCACGTAGGATTATGAGACTCTATATACAAATTTCGTGAGAACGATTAGAAAGTTCCCTATGTCGGGAATGAGGTATATATAGAAGACTCTAGGGGTCAGATAGTGGGAGTCGTGGAAGACCAGTTCATCCTCCATTATAGAGAGAACAATTTCCTTCTCATCCTATGTTGTGTTTGACTGATTCTCCAGCCATGCCCAATTCGGGTGACCAACTTCAACTGGCTAAAATTATAATTTGTAAACAACTATTCAAACCAATTTTTCATTGGAAACTTTTTATAACAAAAAATTATAACTTTATTTTAAACAAAAAATATATGTAATTATTACATACTGGAATCAGAATTGGTGTTGATCGATGATAGAGGATCCTGAATCAGTGGTTCTGATCTCTGATGTGGTGGTGCAGATTGAACATGAAAATTTGTCATTCCAACATCCAAGTTAGTTTAGAGTCCAAGATGAGTGTAATGAAAATTGGAGATCGGAAAAGTGTACCTCGAATCTCACGTGTGCTGATTTTATATGTTGGATAATTTTGATTAGGTTTGCATTTGGTTGGTTCTTTACTTTGGGCCTTTGGCAGGCCCAGAACACTTGTCCCCAAGGCTTTTCCAAGTGAAAAATAGTCGAGTAAGTCTTCAAAGTCGTGACTGGTCTCTTAACAGTGGAGTTTGTCCTTAGAGAGATATGGAAATGATTTGTATCAATCGAAATTAGTGGGAGACAAGTGAATTAAATATTTTCCCATCATTGAAATGATTTTCTGATTTTTCCCTACACGTGGCTTAAGGTGATCAACTTAGGGTATGGCATTTCCTCCTAGTGCACTTGAGTTTGTTTGCATTCCCTAAACAAAATCCAGTCGTTGATCTTGTAACTTCTTGCTCCCGCTGATCTAGTCGTTGATTGCCTTCATCTATATATAAAGATTTTTGAGCTTTGAGAAAACTTTTTGCTTCCCTTGAGTATTTTTCCTTCTTCTTATTCAGGATTATTTCTCAAAGTGATGATATTCTTTGAACAAAGCTTCCACTCTCCCATTTGAACTTCACCTTTCCGGTCAGGTTCTGCTTCTCCCATGTACCCTTCATATCTTAAGCTTCTCCCATGAACGATAATCCCATAAGTTTGTCTAGCAATTCTGAGAGTGATGATTCTTCTTCCTTAGTTAGGGTAGGAGTATATTCTAATCCAAACCCTTAGTACTTAATTATCGATCAACTAGCCCACGAGGTCATATCTATAACTGATGATTCTGAATCAGAGAAGCTTTCAAGGGGCTCTCTGGACGAGGAAGCTTCCTCCAATGATTCTTGTTTTGATGCTATCTTATTTGATGACGATGAAAAAGGTGATCGCACGTTGTGCCTGCCTCCTCTCAATCTGTAGGAACTTTGAATTCACTTACTTTGGTAACTCCGAAAAAGAGGGTTGTGGGTTGTTATTCTAAATAGAGAGGATTCTAAATATAACGTTAAGGCTTATCGTAAGGCATGTGGTTATGACCCCAGTGATGTTGACATCAAAGAGCATTTGAAGCATGGGCCCGATAGAATAGAGTTAGCCGGCTTAAACCCTTCGGGATCTTTAAGGCGGATAAGTTGTCCTAAAGAAGGGTGTAGGTGGAACCAACCGATGCAAGCAAATACAATTGGGCGGACTCGAAGATAGTGGGGATTCCTTAGTGTTAAGTAATCTAGCAGTCGTAAGTGCGACCAACATCTCGGTCATTCGTCTTTCTGATTGGTCAGTCCTTCTGGTGGATCCGAAAAAAGGATATGCAACACCTTTGAAGGTTATTATGTCACCTTTTACGAGTGTATGTTCACCATGATAACCTTGTGGTTGTCTCTATCTGAATTTAAGGTAGAAGTGTTAAAGTACCTAAAGGTTGCCCCATCTTAACTTCAACTGGGTTCTTGAGCTTTCATAAAGGTGTTCTAATTTTGGGTTGAACATAGGTCTTGGATTATGCTATGGCCCTACCAAATCTTCACTCTCTGGCAAGAGCAGGCTTCTGAAATACTGTGATTGACTCACTTCCATCTTAAGCCTCATTCGTATGGTGTCAAACTGAACTCTCTCACTACTGAAGAAATTACGATGAAGAGGTACTCGTAATGCTGATCTCCAACGCAATGGCACGTGGTAGACTTGCAAAATTAACACTCAAATACCTAAATCAGATCATAATCCAAGATAAGTGTAGTAAAAATTGGAGAAGTGTACCTTAAATCTCAAGAGTGATAACCTTACACATTAGATTATTTTGATTGGACTTGCATTTAATTGAGCTTTTTCTTTGGGCATTTGGCCGATTAAAAAAAATTATTTAAAAAAGAAAAAAACCAAAACAAACTGTCCACAATTAAATGGTGGTTAAGTGTGCTTTCTTGATTTCTAGCGAAATTTTGGAAGTACTAGTATACCTTTAACTTTTACCTCAAAAATAGGTTTATACAAAATGAAATTTTCAAGTAAACACATCATTTTTATAATTTCATTTCTTCTACTCATACAAGCATTTAATGACATGCAACTATCTTTACACCCATATTAGTAAAAACTAAGAATTCCGTTCCACTCTAAAGAAATTATACAAAAACAGAAACAGAAATTCATCAAATCAGTGATGTTTCAAACATGGAATCCGCAATCAACTCATACAATCACAAATAACATGTTTCAATACTAAACTTTTTTGTCAGCTGCTTGAAAAGAGGTTAAAACATGTTCTGCTGTCAACTTAATCTCTACTCAGTTATACAAAATCCATTTCCACTAACATTAATACCATTCAAAAGTATATTCATTCATTTCGATGCCGAGGAACTATCTGACGCGGCATTACCTTGATTTTCGACATACGGCCGAATGAAAGTTCTGCGCCACCACACCTCAAAAGCCCTTTGAAGATTAGGACAGCTATCACCGGTTTTCAAGAAAATCCCAACCCAAGAAAGCAAAATGCTTTGTTGATCCTCCAAAGGCAAGGTGAGAATCGTTCTCCCGATTCCTTCCTCCACAAGCTTCCTGTCGAACGACCTGCATCCGTGTTGTAACCAATTGTAGTCGTTCATTAGCGGCTGCAGCCATGTTTGCAACAACAACTGCCGTGTGTCCTTCGATGGCAACAACTCCCCTCTACCAATGCCGACGTATAGTTTTCCGGAAATGCAGCTAACATGATAACGAGACACAATTGGTAGCTTCGCGTGTAAGACTGCTAATTCCTGCTGGTTTGCCCATAACAGTGCAAACTCATCACCGGCTTGTTTGTCAACTAAAATATCAAGCAACCATGAAAGGTTGTCGGCTTCAAGAGCTATACGCTTTATTACAGAATCTCTTTCGTCACTTGGTTTGCCTGCAAAGGATGATTCTGCAGCTTGCTTGAAGAGAGACAACAATAAATCCAAACAGCTTCTGCAGGATGTATATATCATGTCGTTACAGATGTCGGTGGAACGTGCGTAACTTGGGAGACTGTTGTTCTCTCTAAGAAGCTTTAGAACTATGGATTTCATCTCTCGACGACCTTTTTCCTCGTTGCTTTTGAGAACAAGTTCGATAATTTGGGAAAATGTGTCTTTCGGGACATTGGAAACATCAGAAGAAATTCGTTTCAACACAGGGTTGATCCCAATTCCTTCCCCTTGGAGTTGTAGTACAGTTGAGACGACTTTTTCTTCTTCTTCATCTCCAACCCAAGGGACAGCCTCCAAATACTCCAAGCATGATTGGATACATGAGCTGAAGCCAAGGTATTCTGCAACCTGAGGATACATTACATTTTAGATTTTCAAAAGAACATTTAACATTTCTTCTCCCAAAGGAAATAATCAATTGATTCTAATAATCACGAAAACAAAAATGTGCTGATCATAAAAGTTACCTCAAATTTTTCACAAATTCAGCTTGTCTACGTGTCTAACACATGTCAGTGTCTGACACATGCTCGACAACTTAGATAAGTGTTCCGAAACAAGATTTTTTTTGGTTCGGTACACTTCAGCCACTCTTGGGAAACATCTACGGGAATTCATACATTACAAATAGTACAAAATCATTTGTATTTCCTAAATCCAACTTTGTATATGCTCCATATCAAATGAATATGCAGTTGCTATTGGCATTTGGTATTGTAAATGCAATCAAAACCAAATCACTAGAAACAGTAGTTAATAGCTACATATTAGCCGAATAACATGTATTATCATCAAACAATATATCAAGGAAACGGTAATGGAAATATTAATCACATGGGAGCAATAGAAAGTTACCTTAAGAATTCGAAGAATGCGAGAAACATTCTGTTTCATGAGCCGCTGTTTCATTTCCTTGCAGTACATCAAACCAACGGCTTCAACATATATTTCAACATCCTCACAATCTCCGATTTGTAGACAAGACAAATCCGATTGTTCCAAAATCTTTTCAGAAAAGAAACTACTCTTCTCTATCAGAACATCCCTATGCACACTCAACTTAACAGAAAAACCTTGTTTCCCTAATAAAACCACCTTCATATCACAAGTTCCAGGTTCACCAAACTCAATAGCTACCTTTCTCGGCATGGTTTCGATTTTAGGTCTAGAAGATAATCTCTCAGCAGCCAAAGAAGTACCAGGCGACGACCTTTCTGACCCAACACCACAATGTTGATCATCGGAAACCACCAATCTAGACGATGCAGATGCAGGACCATGTGCAGGTGCAGAACCTCTTCTCTCCGTCACTTGCACAGCCACCGGCTTTTTCTGAACACTAGCTTTCGGTTGTGGCTGTGGCGGAGACGAAGACGGTTTGGTTTTATTCAAAGGATTTTGAGGCTTATGACTTTTCTGAAACACAACAGGTGAAGGACAACACCAAAACCCTTCAGGTGTAACAGCTATTGGAACATTCTTAATCTTTGTTTGTCCTTGATCTACCCTATTAAGCCTAACATCTCCCATGTTTATTCAAAAAGGTATAATAATTTTTAACAGACACAACAAAATTAGACCAAAACACTAAGATTGCATCAGTGAGAAAGAGAAAATGTTTCTGTTAAAAAAACCGGAAATAACCAAACAAGTTCAAGTTTCTATGTAACAAACATTAATTGAACTAACTAAATAGTCAAGTCAAAAGGGTAAGAGAATATTTCTCCAAATTTTGTTCCACTCTTTCAGGAAACTTGAACCCTTCTCTTGAACACAGTGATTTTCACTTTTGCCTCATAAAAATCAACACTTTCTCAATCTCTGAAGCTGAATCTCCTTTTCCCCCAAATTGAATCACTGTAGTAGTTTCATAAAAAGTTCATGAAAAACATTAGTAACATTAATTAACTTTCATTTAATTTTCTCAAATCTCAAATCAGAATAGCAGAAAAATAAACACGAATTAAACACAACCCTTTTGTTAACTACAGATCAGAAGCATAGAAAAACTAAATATAGTAAATATCAGACAAAAAAACACATAAAAATTCTTCCTTTTTCAAGAAACTAGCAACCCCGTGAGAAAAAGATTAAAACTTTACCAAAAAATGATTCTATGTGAGCATGAGCAACCTCTAAAACGCTTGTGAAACCCTTGAAAATGATTGAAGAAGAGGAGCAGTGCAAAGCATAAACAATGAACAATGAGTGAATCCTTTGTTTAATTTGAAAAGTAGAGAAAAGAAAACACCACGAGACCCGAAAAAGCAAAAAGGGAATGGATGATGATAGCTCATGAACTGTGTTTTCTACTTTAACAGTTCCATGCTTTTGATGATTGTTTCTCTTTGTATCTTGTGTGGGTCTCAGAAAATTTTCTAGTTTTGAATTGGACCACAGAATTTCAATACTACATCATTTGTATTATTCTACTATTTTTCTTTTCAAAGGTTATTGTTTTGTTTTGGAACAAAAACAAAAACAAAAGAAAAAAACAATATTGTTTTTTTATTTATTTATTTATTTATTATCTTCTCTTGTTTTTGTTGTTGTTGAGTTGTTAATGTTGTTTATAGACACAACTCGGCATTCATAATAATAGTAACTAAACTCACAGTAAGCATGCTTCAATTTTATTTCATTCATTGATTGTTTTTTTTTTATTTTTTATCTATAAATGCTTTTGAGATTCTCTGTGTCTCTCAGTTGCTTTAGGAGACCGGTGTTGGATTTTCTAGGCTGTGAGTTATTAAGATGTGGAGTAAAGATGAAGTATGCTATATTGTGCAATGACTAGTACACCCTCTAGTGAAGAAGGTAATGTAGTTCATGCTAAAGTTTGAGACAGATGAGGGAGGTTTTCAAGTTTGATTGTTAATTATAGAAATAAGTCATAAATCTTTATTAAAGTATTTTAGATGCTTATTACTTTAGATAATACTACAGCATATGAATGTCTTTTTAGCTTAATTAAGGGTCTTAAAGTTGATTAGATGGGTTTTAATTCATTTTTGAAATAATGTTAATTTTTTTTAGTCATAAAGTATGACTTAAAATTCTAATCAAGGAAGAGAAACAAAACATGTTTTGAGTTTGTAAAAATTAGTATAGAAGTCGACATAGGCCCGCAGCAACAGAGCAGATGGAGTAAGTCTGTGGTAGTCCAGTCGCGCGATGAGCGGCGCTGGCCGATGGATCGGTAGCGCCAACGATCGGGTCAGGTTTGACGGGCGATTCGAATATGTTGGGTATCAGATCTAATACAGGCTATTTTTTTCGTGTATTGAGTTTGATTGTTCTAATTTATGAATCAGTTATGTCTCCATAATTTTTGTCTACACAACTTTTATAATGTAGTCTGACAAACAGAGGAAGTAGCATTTGTAGGAGAAACTTAAAAAGGCAAGGGTAACATTTCATATGATTGTGTTATTGAAATTAAGAAATCTTTGAGGGTAATTAAAGGAATTGTGAAACACTTCTAAACACTTCGGATTTGTGTGATCATATATAAAGAGAGTTTGATAGATTGAGAAACACTTGGGTAGGCAATAGGACTTGTTCTTGGGAACTTCAGTGACTATTTTCTTGTAACTCATTTGTAATATTTGTAATATTTGTAATATTTGGTAACAATTATTAGAAGTATAGTGAATTAGAGTGTTGCTCTCTCTCTCTCTCTCTCTCTCTCTCTCTCTCTCTCTCTCTCTCTCTCTCTCTCTCCCATAGTAGATCATTTTATTGCGCTGGGTATACAAGTTATTGTGTTTTTTATCTTTTATCTCTTTCTGTCAAGTTAAGTTGATGTCCTATTTCATAGAGGGTTATTTTTGTTGAAGGTCATTTATTTTGGTTGTCATTGTTCTTTGACCCCACATCAAATTTCTTAGTGTGATTGAACATTTCAATTTCACAATAAGTGGCGGCTACTGTAGGGCAAATGGATTTTGTTTACAATTGAGCATCATGGATTTCAAATGGCAAATCGAGTAGTTTTTCGAAGACAACAATTTTGAGTTGTGAAAATTGAAGATGTAAGCAACTTTAACTTAAGAAAAGTGTATTGAATCATTGAAGGGTGGGGAATTGTTTCGTGAACACTTAACACAAACATAGAAGATCGAGATAGTATATAAGGCTAGAAGTGTCATTATCTTATGTCTCAGGGATAAAGTTCTAAGAGAAGTCTTCAAGAAGAAGATTGTATCTTAAATGTCGGGGAAAAAAATGAACCATTGTATATGATCAAGTCTTTGACTCAGAAATTATGCATGAAATAACAACTTCACTCATTCCAAGTAGCAGAGAACAAATCTATACTGGAGCAGTTGACATGATTTCACAAGATCATGGATGATATGAATAATATTGAGTTGAAGATTAAAAATGAAGATAATGATGCATTCTTATTGATCTCACTGCCTAGATATTTTAATAACTTTAAGGATTTTGTTATTTATGGTAAGGAAGGTATTATTACTTTGGATGAAGTTCAGACGGTTGTGAGATTCAATGAATTTTCAAAGATGAATGATTTGAAGATTATCGATAGTGATGAAGGATTGAGTGTCTCAATAGGAGAAAGTGAATGTAGAAGGATGTCAAAATCAAATAGGTTTAACAAGTCAAGGATAAAATTATTTATTTCTCAAAAACCTGTTCACTTCAAAGGGGACTATCTCGAGAGGAAGGACAATAAAGATTTTGTTCAGATAGTTATTGCCTTCGATGAGGTTTGTTATGAGATTCTTGGTGCATTAATGGTGTAGAGTTTGAAGATCGAATAGGGTTGGGTCATGAACTTAGGTTGCTCTTATAACATGTGTTGAAGAAAAGAATACTTTGACACTTTGAAGCTGGAGAAAGGTGGAACAATTCAACTTGGTGATAATAAGGCTTGTAGGATTCATGCTATTGGTACAACTAGACTTAAAATGTTCGATGGTCGTGAGTTTCTTCTTCATAACATGAGGTATGTTCTAGAGCTCATACAAAATATGTTATCCATAAGCATGTTTGATGGTCTAGGATATTACACTAGAATTGAACATAAAGTGTTGAATATTTCACATGGTGAAGTGATCGTAACTAAAGGGTCTAAATTAATGTGTCTTATATATTTAGAAAACTCTAATCTTGTTATTTATTCCTCATATTTATGTGGCTTATATATTTAGAAGGCTCAAATGTTGTTATTCATTCCTGATCAACTAGTGATGACTTTCCTGAAAATAATAAGATATGAGATTTGAGGTCAAGTCACAGTAAATGCTTGAAGGTTCTCTTAGACCACTTTATTAAGTTTTGTATAAGATAAGGCATAAAAACGCATTTAACCACTGAATTGTCAAAGAGTTTATGTGGTAAGACTGATGTCAAAGTTGTGGATATGTGTGCTTGCTTGAATAAAGATTGTAGAAATCCAATGACCTATTTGGTTTTGATGATGATAACATTTTAAGGTGAAGTCTTCATTAGTTGTAATGTTCAAGTTGTGGTGCTTATCTCTAAAAGACAATACCTGATGTCAAGCGTCGTTCAGTGAAATAAATGAAGATATCTAATCAAGAAGTATCTATGATGATAACGCGCATCCTAAAGTTATCTCAAGCCTCATTAGTGAGAAGATTAAAGGTTCTAGTGAAGTGCTAAATCAAAGATAATGTAGCAAGAATCTGAAAGCTTCAAAATTATGAAAGATAGGAAGTGTGAAAGCTCGCATTATCTGTGTCGAGTGATTTGTATCTGTAAGGTATAAGATTAACTATTTAATTACTAAGACAAATTACACTCATATACGCACACACTTTCAGATGATAAAAAAGCCTCTATGATTTTATAATATCACCATAAAATGTTTTATGCAAGTAGTTAGCTCGTTACTAACTTGAATAATCCTCTATGAGTGTAGCTTACACTATATAATCGGTTATCACATTAGGGTTAGTTGATTATATCTTTTGTAACGCATCATAATCAATTATTAAGGCATATAATTTATTAGTAACGACACCATATAAAACCTTTCATATTTTAATTGCATAATCAATTATCTGATATGCATAATCTATTAGGAGCATTAAAAAGCCCATGGATTGTTTCCATTTGTGAGCCAAACTTTGTACTATAAATAGAGGGCTTCCCCTTATTTCAATTTACACTAGAAAACATATTTTGAATATCTCTCTCTCTCTCTCTCTCTCTCTCTCTCTCTCCTCTCTCTCTCTCTCTCTCTCTCTCTCTCTCTCTCCTCACTCTCTCTCTCTCTCTCTCTCTCTCTCTCTCTCTCTCTCTCTCTCTCTCTCTCTCTCTCTCTCTCTCTCTCTCTCTCTCTCTCCTCTCTCTCTCTCTCTCTCTCTCTCTCTCTCTCTCTCTCTCTCTCTCTCTCTCTCATTTTTCCTTAGTGCTTTTGAGAATGAATCTTTTATTTGTGAGGTGTTTGGTTCTTGTGGGGGGAATGGTTGTAATATCTATCTTCTGATAAGGTACTTTTGGTTCTAAGTTAAACTAATTGAAAAGATCTTGTTTGGTTATTGAGGTGAACCTTATAAAACCTCTATTTATTTTCCAAGATTATTCCAATAGTTGGGAGGTATCCATAATTAAAACCCATGTTTGCTTCGTGAGCATAACCTAGTGTTAAAAGCTCTCGCTTGGTTCGAGATTGTCCTAGTGATAAAATTTCCTGTTGGTTGGGAGGTCTTTGTAATTAAAACTTTGTATTTTGTTTGGAGGATAGACACTATAAAAATCCACTTTATTTTAAGGAGATTCATAGGAAAAACCTATAAAAAGTTCACATCATAGTGGAAGTTCTCAAGAATAAATTCTTGGGAATACGAGTAGTACTAATGGTTAGGCCTAATTTTTGGTTTTATAATAAAGTAGTAAATAAACTTGATTTTCATTGGACTGAAGAAGACAAGAGAAAAGTAAACTTTCTTTTAAATTCAAAGATATTTTGATAAGTGCTTTAATTTCTAAAGATTTTTGTTACGTTTTTAATTGTCATTTCACCAAGGAAGTATGGGAAACTCTTGAGATGATCCATGGAGTTTATCCAAAAATCAATAAGAGATTATAAACATACAAATAAAGGAAGATGAGGTACCAAACGAATGGGAGAGTAATCCTCATAGATGGCTATAATACGGTGGGAGAACTGGTTTAGTTATTTTGCATTTTATCGCAAATGTTACGGGTAGCAAGAGTCGCCACCGACTTTTCTTTTATCCAATAAAGGAAAGGGTGAAAAGAACAGGAAAGACCTTTTGAGAATTTTCTTGAGTTCAGGGGGTAGGTTATGAAAATGGAAGGTGTTATCACC